TTGCATGCTGGAATATTTTGTGCTCCCTAAAAACTAATTGACATTTTTGTTTGAATGTTTTAGTTAACAAAAAGGAATGTGAAAATCATACTGGCTTTTCATATTTCTTTACAGGGACACAGACAAAAATAACTACAATAATAGAAATAAATACATAGGTGAGTGTGTTACAGCTAAGCTTTGTGTTTTTATCAATGAAGATTTTCTTAAGGCTGCAAAGCCACCTGTTCCACTTCTCTTTAATATAAAAAAAGAAATGGTCAAAACCAACACTTGTTCCTGCACACATAATTTACACTGACTGCTAAAATAAGCATGATTTGTAATAACTCAACTGGGTTAACTTATTTATCTACTCATATTTTGGGAAAACTACAATGAAGCAAAAAGCAGTAATTTGAATTTTTCAAAGACAGAAAAGAGGTGGTTTGACGTCAGGAAAGGGGAAGTTATTGGTTAAAAGGTGCCATAATGCACGCTGGCTTGTGTGTATCTGTTTGTGTATATCCGTTGAAATATGTGGTTAATACTGAGCAACATCTCATGCTAAGTTGGCTAAAGATGCATTCTACATGATGATGTGGAAGACTGAGACTGTATGTGACAGTCAGACAGGTGAGTGGCCTGAATGATAAATACAGGTGTGTGCTGTAGGTCACTGTATTAGGGATAGCAGCAGCTATATTGTGCAATTAATTTCCAAATACTCCAAGAAGTTTTTTTTTTTTTTTTTTTTTACTAATAATCAAAAAGACAAATCTTTTTCAGGCTTCACAATAAAAACAACTTTGCTTTATGTATTATTTTACTCTACACTTTAAAAAAATGTAAGTACACTATAGGTGCAGCTCAATTTAGACTAAAATTACTTCTATTGATGGGATTTTTATCTCTTTCTCTTCTGTTTCCTCTTCCTCCGCTCCTTCCGGTTGTTTGGTAAAATTCCTGTAGGTGTTCAGTGTCTCAATATTCATATAGATCCTCTCCTCGTAATGTGGTCCGTTACTATTTTTCAACAAACATACGGTTGAAGCTGTGTTCAGCTTAAAGAAGTCCAGGAAAGGGGACCACAGTTTATAAAATGTGTTTTTTGACCCACAAACTGTATATTAAATTTTTTTCTAAATCCATACAGGACATTATATCTTTTACCCATTGCGCATGCAAGAGTCTTGCCACTAAAGCAAAATAGCTCGCCTGGCCAGCAGTAATGAAAAGTTTAACGCTCTGAGTCTAGAGTTGGGCAGATTCAGGTTCTAGACCACATCAAAGATAGCTCAGAGTGGCTCTGGTTTAATTTGGTCCTTGATTCTCGTCCCTGGTTTTCCCGAGTGTGAGTGAAGTGAAGAGGTGAGTTTTGTGTGGCAGGAGCAGAGCGTGTGTGGCGTGGCCGAAGAGCAGCTTGGGAGTGAACTGGAGAGAATGTGTGGAATTTCCCCTCACCTACCCCGTGGAACCCCAGAACCCCTGAACTCCCCTCACATTCTGTATATAGTCAATCAGTTTTGTTTTTGTTTTGCTTTTTGAAATAGAAATAAACTCTCCTTGCTCTTTTCCTTGAGTCTGCACATGAGTCTGTTCCGTCAACCCTGACAGAACATTCCAGCCAAACCATGGACCCCGTAGATTGGTGGGTCATCCCCCTCGTCCCCAGACTCTGTTTCCTGGTGTGGTTTTTCGTTATTGGACTTCTCCATTGCCGAAGCTGCTTCACTGAGCTGCGGCCTCAAGGTGGTTGGTGCCTGTCGTGGTGTCCATACAGACAATATTGATTTGTAAATGATTAAATAACAATCTTGTCAACACAAAGTTCTTTATTTGGAGCCCAGTTCTACAAGAAAGACGTTACTGAATAAGTGCTTGTGCTTAAAGTGCTTTGACAGTATTTGAGACAATGTTAAACTTAATCATCATCGACCTGTTTGCTGCTGCCTGCCGCTGAAAGGCATTGAGGAGAGGGGACATTTGGGCAGTGCATTTATTGCGGCATATTATGTGTTTTCTGGATATACTGTGCTTTTTCACCGTTCAGAGGTTGATGGCTCCATGTCAGAGCACTGGCTATGAATTTCAGATGGATCAGGCCTTAACTTACGTTATCAATCGTTCTTTTCATCTTTTCTGATTACCCACAGCTACATCCACTTCTGTCCGGCCTAGGCTCCTCACTAGGGCTGGGTATCGTCACGGATTTCTATAATCCATTCGATTATGATTCGCAAGGTCCCGATTCGATTCAATTTTGCCTCAGACAGTCCGAAATATTATAATTCTGATCATTTATCAGTACTGACACTTGTGAGACTTCATCAGAGGTGTGAGCATCACAGCAGATGTCTTTGTGTCAAAGTAACTGAGGATAAAACACAGAATAACATGAAGGAGATTTTCCAGGCCTGGCTTTTTATCGCAGATAACTGCCTTAAAAATATTCTGCAATAGAACAAATCAACATGTGAACATTACCAGATGCTGCTGAAGTGAAGCAGAGCAAAGTTACAGAGGTTTTATTAAAGACACAGCTAAGCATTTTGCAATTTGGCATAATTTTAAAAATGAGTTTCTTTGCTATTAAACAGCAGAAATAAGGCTTTCTTGTTGGAGGTCATTTTTGGGGAAAACAAAACCAGCTGACAGCACTCTACATGACTTGTGCGTAATAAGCAAAAAAATAATGCAGAAAATAGATTTAGGATGGGAAACTGTTCTTGCAGTACACTGAGAGAGAGAGCTGTGCAGGAAGTGTGATTTTTATCATGGTGAAAGCAAAATAGCAAAAGTAAGAGGGAATTAATGACGATGTTTATCAAATGTGAAGCTTAGTTTTGATCTTCTTTTGCTGCTGGTTCAGTCAATTTTGGTTGGAGAGAGACAAAACCTGCAGCACCAGAATCTAGTGCAAAAAAATCTCAAAGACGTAAACACAAAGCGCGGACCCGACGCATCAGAATCAGTGAGCTGTCAGCTTTCAGCACTGACGGCGTGTCCGCGTATGTGCCATCGGGTGAGAAAGACACACATCTCACTGATTCTGATGCGTCGGGTCCGCGTTGCCTTTGTGAGGAATCCGTTTACCTGCTCTCATTTACTGTTTTAGCTGTTTGGTGGTTGTCAAAATAGTTTTGTGGGCTTTAACCTGAGATTCTGGCGTTTCTCAGTAAACCCTTCGTTTTCACTCCGTCCTTTACGACAACAAAAGCAAAAACGTACTTCGTGAACAATATTAGTTTAAATGGTATTTCACTCTCTAGAGGTTCATTTCTCCAGCTTACCAATTCAAAACGTTTTAGCCCGCCTGCTCTGCTCGGCTGTAGAAAGCAAGAGACTGAAAGTATGGGCGCTGGCGCTAAGAAGGGACAAGAGCTGGCTAGAGCTTCAGCAATTGGCTGACACGAGATGAGTGGAATAAAACAATAGGCTCCCCTCCATCAACATTTGGAAAAACTTAGCCCTTGTTTAACCAAAGCATATATACAGGGAGTGCAGAATTATTAGGCAAGTTGTATTTTTGAGGAATAATTTTATTATTGAACAACAACCATGTTCTCAACAAACCCAAAAAACTCATTAATATCAAAGCTGAATGTTT